GACATCGTGGTTCATCCGATGAGATCATCGAGGAGCTTGTGGGAGCCAACATGGGTATCTAAATCCCGCTGTTGGTTATTGACCGGAGAGTCGTCTCGGTCATGTCTACATGTCTCCCGAACCCGTAGGGTCTACACACTTAAGGTTCGGTGACGCTAGGGTTGTAGAGATATGAGTATGCAGTAACCCGAAAGTTGTTCGGAGTCCTGGATGAGATCCCGGACGTCACGAAGAGTTCCGGAATGGTCCGGAGGTGAAGAATTATATATAGGAAGTGCAGTTTCGGCCATCGGGGGAGTTTCGGGGGTCACCGGTATTGTACCGGGACCACCAGAAGGGTCCCGGGGGTCCACCGGGTGGGGCCACCCATCCCGTTGGGCCCCATGGGCTGAAGTGGGAAGGGGAACCAGCCCATAGTGGGCTGGTGCGCCCCCCTTGGCCCACCCCCTGCGCCTAGGGTTGGAAACCCTAGGGTGGGGGGGGGCGCCCCACTTGCCTTGAGGGGTACTCCACCCCCTGGCCGCCGCCCCCCTTGGGAGATTCAATCTCCAGGGCCGGCGCCCCCCAGGGGGCCAATATAAAGGGGGGAGGGAGGGGCAGCCGCACCCTGAAGCCTTGGCGCCTCCCTCTCCCCTGCTACACCTCTCCCTCTCGCAGAAGCTCGGCGAAGCCCTGCTGCGGTGACTGCTGCATCCACCACCACGCCGTCGTGCTGCTGGATCTTCATCAACCTCTCCTTCCCCCTTGCTGGATCAAGAAGGAGGAGACGTCATCCGCTCCGTACGTGTGTTGAACGCGGAGGTGCCGTTCGTTTGGCACTTGGTCATCGATGATTTGGATCACGGCGAGTACGACTCCATCATCCCCGTTCTCTTGAACGCTTCCGCTCGCGATCTACAAGGGTATGTAGATGCACTTTCCTCTCGTTGCTAGTTGACTCCATAGATTGATCTTGGTGAAACGTAGGGAAATTTTTTGTTTTCTGCAACGTTCCCAAACACTCGGAGGGGCGACGCCCCCCTCTTTCCTTCTCCCTCTCCCTCTCCTTCCTTCTTCTCCTACTTGGACTAGGAAAGGGGGAAACCTACTCCTACTAGGAGTAGGAATCCTTCCTTTGGGCGCGCCCCTTGAGGCCAGCCCTCCTCCTCCTCCCCACCTTTATATACAGGGAGGGGCACCCCGTAGACACACAAGTTGATTGTTTAGCCATGTGCGGTGCCCCCCTCCACAGATTTCCACCTCGGTCATATCGTCGTAGAGCTTAGGCGAAGCCCTGTGTCGGTAACTTCATCACCATGATCACGTCGTCGTGCTGAGGAAACTCTCCCTCGACCTCAGCTGGATCTAGAGTTCGTGGGACGTCACCAAGCTGAACGTGTGCAGATCGCGGAGGTGTCGTACCTTCGGTGCTAGGATCGGTCGGATCGTGAAGACGTATGACTACATTAACCGCTTTGTCATAACGCTTCCGCTTACGGTCTACGAGGGTACGTAAACAACACTCTCCCCTCTCGTTGCTATGCATCACCTAGATGAATCTTGCGTGTGCATAGGATTTTTTTTGAAATTACTGCGCTCCCTAACAATATGGCACAAGACCGTTAGGCACCCCTCGATGAAAAAGAGCGAAGAAGACATTTCCAATTCATTTATTTCTTTGGTCGTAGGAAATCCATGATATTAAGAAGGGATACGCTTCAGAAGGTACGGGTGGAATCACATCACGTACACAGACTCATATTGCACTTGCACCCACATATCTATCCTTCCGTTTCGAGAGAACCTCATTCCTAACCTTCGCAGCAAAGTTCCTAGAAGTTGTACTACTCATGGGTCCGGTTGTACCACTCCTCTTTGGACAGTGCGCCATGTGACCATCCTAGTCGGTTGTACTGCTCAGTCTCCAGGCGGTATTACCGGTCCTAGTTCTGGGCAACCACCACCTGAGGGTGGTTCCCTTGGGTCCGGCAGCGGTACCCAAGCAATGGCTTGCTGGTTATCCCGGTAATTCGAGTACTTTCCGGTATCACCGGTGTCCCTAGCAGTTGTACCGCCCAGGGCTCCACAGCCACCCCTGGTAGCTATCAGGGCGGTTGAACCGTCCCAAGTACCGCCCTACACTAGTAGAAAAAGGGTCAAACGTGAAGCACATTAGTGCCGGTTTGTATTTGAGCCGGTACTAATGGTACCATTAGTGCCGGTTCGAACGGATTTGCATTAATGCCGGTTCGTGTTGAACCTTTAGTACCGGCTCGTGGCACGAACCGGTACTAAAGGGGTGGTGGCAGGCTGGCGTCAGGCCGGGGCCCCACGATCACCTTTAGTACCGGTTCGTGCCATGAACCGGTACTAACGGGGTCTGACCTATAG